TGTAAGGAGCTGGTCACTGATACAGCCCAAGGAAAGGTTTGAGCTTTCAGGTTTCATCTTGCAAGACTGAACCTAGAGCTTGTATTGTGCTGCCGCAATGGATGTTCTCTATCGGTCATTAAAATACACAGCTGGTAATTTCATAGCTCTAGAAGCTTTCCAGCTGAGCCACACTAAAGGATCATACTGTTCCTCTAGCAGCTTCTCTAAATGTTTGGCTTTGGGTGCTCCACTTTACCTCCTCATTTCCCATTCATATGCAGCCAGTTCTCTTAAACCTGCGCAGCTAGAGCCGTATGGCTGTCCTGCTTCACTGTCCCTGACATTTAGTGGGACAAACAGGAGCCTTCCTGAACATTTTCTGTTTGTTCTTATGCAGATGCTGTGATGCTTTTTTCCCTCTCTGGGAATTTACTCCCAGGAAGGTGGATCTTTAAGAGAAAAAGAACCAAAGAGCCAAAGCAGACATCACAACATCACAATTTTGTTTCTTACTGCTATCCAGGAGCTCAAGTGAAGCTATTGCTCTGCAGAGCTTCTTTCAACCCCTCTGAAGAACTGAGACTTTGTCTCCTAGCATGTGATTGCTGATGCAGCTATCTGATTGTGCAAAAGAAAGGCAAAACCACCACCTCACACTCTGCTAAGCACCCTGAACATTTAACCTTGCAAAAGGAGAGAGTCCTCACCTCCATGCTGGCCAGTTCTTTGGCAGGGCTGAGGCTGTAGATAGGGTTGGCTCTTCCAAGCTGGAGTTGGATGAGCAGCAGCAAGAGGAAGCCACAGGAAAATGAGCCTTTAGTGTCCATGGTGCTGGCTTCGTTGGGAATAGGGAAGTTCAAGCTGTTTCTTCTGAGATGTCTCTTCAGGTCTCTCTCTTCCTCGTCCTATCCGCTCTCTTCCGAAGCTTGTCTTTTATACTCTTTGGGTGTGATCTCTGCTTCCTAGGTTATCAGTGGATTTATCTGGGGCACATTCCAGTCCCATTGCAGGCATGCAGCTCTGTCAAGGGAAGATTCCCTTTATTAGCTGTCATTAGGCAGCAGCTGCTGTTGCTGAGGAATGTATGTCACAAGTCAGTGATTTCATGTCACTCCCCCTCCTCTTGATACCAGGCGCTGTGATTACATAGTCCAGTTGGAAATTCTTAGCAATTTTCTTTCAAGAGACCCCTATGGTCAGATTTACAGAGATGGGAAACAAACCTGAAACTGCTCTAAACTCCACTCATTTAGAAGCTTTCCATAGGGAAATCACCTTTTATAGGGAAAATGAAAGGCTTTACAGATGAGTATTTGGTCGTGAGTAAAGGCTGAAGATAAATCTACTTTTAGGACACCTAAAGTACCGTGCACATTTTCCTTCTATATATGGAATCTGCGCAGCCACTGCATACCACGGAGTATGCTGAAAATCTCAGGTTTGGGTCACTTCTCTTTTCTCATTGCTATTGGGGTGATATCATCGTTGAGACTTTGCATGTTACAACAGCAGAGGCACTTCGATCTGCACTTCAATCCAGACAATAACTTCTAGACTGACTCTGCAGGACACCGAATACCTCTAGCCCCCTGCGGGAACTGGCTCCGGCACCACTGAAAACCACTAGTCTTTATTAAACATTTAAATCCATGGGATTTCTTTACACTTCGATGGTAAGGCTTGACCTGACAGCAATAAAAATTAAAGAAGAGATGCTCAGATTCAGGAATAATCTTCTTGTGCCGTCATACAAGATGCATCATACAACTTGCTCGCCGAGAACTTTAGCTAGATGGCTTTTGGTGTTTCTCAGCAAAGGTATTGGAGTCTGGCCCCAAGGGAGTGTGAATGGATTTGTGTGTATGTGCGTTCTGGGAAGGGTTAAACTGAAATGTTTAGTTTAATATATTAAAACCAAAGAGTATTTAGTTGTTTGCTTGAGAACTGGAGTTTTCAAGTTTAGCTAAAAGCTGCTATTGCTTAAATGAGAAATTGCAGAAATGCTGCTTTGCTTCAAGTTCGTCTTGAAGCGTTTCTTTGTGCATATAGTGCAACTAAAATCTCATCTTCTTTACAGAACTGCAGGAGAACTCTAAATCATGAAGCATACTGCTTATCCTTCATTTTCCTAATGTTAGTTCTTATTCTAAACTGAAACAAGAATGACTATATGAGCAAGTTGAATATGTCAGTCTTGCAATAATTTTTTTCTTGTAATAAAATCATATAAAAGTCAAAAAACCTGACTTCTAATATGACTGATCTTGAAAGAATCTCCTGAGTACAGTTTCTAAGTAACAAGAGAACGATAAAATATTTCTCATGTCTTAAATGTGCTAACATGCTGTTTGTGCACGAACATGTGCACACCGTTCACATGATCAGCTACCAAAATTATACTAGAAAGGACATTCTCAAGGTTGTGAAGTCAAGCTCAAATGCTACTTTTCCCTAATATAGCTTCAAGTCAGCCCAACTCTGATGAATTCTGATGAACTCCTTTATTACAAGAGCAATCCCTATTTTTCCCCATGCTTTCTTTTGCAGTACATGGAGGCAGTACTCGGGTTTTATTATGTAACCTAACACATTCTTATTCTATGCTATTAAGAAAGGATAGCTTATTTTTAGTTTGTAATTAACACTCCCTAGTGCAGTGTGTGTATAATTCACTAATCAGTTACAGCTGCTCTTGGGTGTGTGTGTTTGTATATGCCAGGGAGTAACTTTGGTAAACCGAGAAAGCATTAGAAGAGGAACCAGAATTATTCAGTAATACTGAGTATCCAATTTAAGGTAACTTGATTTGATTTATTTATTTCTTGTTTTCTTTCCTTTCACACCCCACCTGCTGAGTATCCTCTGTGTGAAAACACTCTGCTGCTTGTCGTTTTGCCCCAGAGCTCGGCACATCTGTAAAGCAACCCCTGGAGCACAAACCCAGCAGCAAAGAACCAAGGAACACACTATCAGTCATAGGTGTGAAGTATTTAGCTTTGAGTGCCGTGTCCCTGTGAAACAATCTAATATTCCAGGATTGTATTCAATAACCTGCAGCCAGAGATACTCCTTTTTTTCCCCCCTGCTTTGTTCCTTTTCCATCTTCTGTGTTACACAGCACATAAACGAGATGTAGCGGTCTGACTTAAACCGTGACAACACTTTTCTAAGGCAGGAAGATTTCTGTGTACTGTTTCATGTTCTTTGTGTGGAAGTATGTGGATGGCATAAAAGGGCTGACCATCACAGTTTTTGCATTTTCAAAGCCAGATTCTGCCCTCTATTACCCATTGCACAGTCCTACCAAAGCAAATAGAGTGTAAAACATCAGAACTCAACTCATCATTGTTGGAGCTATTAAGCTCACTTGTTTCTTTGCCTGCAGTATCTTAGTATCATCACCTTGGCAAGATTAATGTGGACTTCAGATGTTATAGCCTGGCAGTGAATAGTCATGACACAGCATTGCCTGTGCTCAGCTGGCTGTCAGTCTGGAAAAGCCTTTGTTGGGAGTCTTACCAGGACAGCAAGTTGTTAGAAAAAGCACTCTGTGGCTTGTTTTAGGGCTGGAAAATTGGCACATTTCCCCAGTAGCACCCCAGGTTAGGGGGTAAGAGATGCAGTGACATGAGGCTCCATTAGAAAGCAGCCTCGGTTGCTCAGAGCAGAGAGGGAGACCATCAAGGGTGCTGCTAGCAGCCCCATGTGTTCCCTGTGGGAAGGAGCGTGGCCCATGGAGGGAGCTCAGCCCCTTCCCCAGCAGGATGGGCAGATGCCCTTGGTTTACAGCCCTGTATGGCTGCAGACTCTAAGCCTCAGGGCTGGTGGATTCCTTCTGCGGGTAGATCTGATGCCCCCTTCCACTGCACGTCCTTCCAGGGGCGTCCATTCTACTGCCGTTTTACAGCTGACAAGTGCTGGAGCTGATTGCAAAGAGCCTTTGTAGTCCAGTTCTGAGGAGGAGGCTGGGCTTGGATTCCTTTCATCTCCCGGTGACTAAACCCTTTGCCAAGACTATGCCATACCCCACCCAAGCTCTCTTGCCCTGCCTTGCAATTCAGTTTGATTACGAAGGAAATGAAGAGATGAGCGTAGGAAACGAAAGAGAAATGTAATAACGCCTGGTGCAGGGCATGCAGCACCGAGATCACAGGACAGGCCATACTGCAATTAAGATAGTTAAGTGATGCCTCACTTTTTCCATGGGGGAAGAAACTTTAATCGCAGACATGGATTGTTTCTGCCGCTGATCGCGATGCATTACTTCTGCGATGTGCTGCCCCTTCCTTTGCAGGCAGCACAGGCCTTTCCTCCCGCAGTTCCTCTGCAGCAGACTGGCAAAGCCTCCAGCCTGTCTGCTTGGGGCGCCCTGCGCATCGTTCACAGCCTTGTCTTGGGAGGGGTGTGCGAGAAACCCGGGCTGGGGAGCGAGGGGGCTGCGCTGAACGCCAGGGCCATGAGTCGGGGCGGCGGGATGGGACCCGTCGGGAGCGCGGCGGGGCCGGCTGGCGTCTGTCCCGGGTGCTGAACGCGCCCGCCCGCGGCCGCAGCCGCTCCGCGACCGCTGCAAGTGTGTTTCTAAAGCGCTGCAGCCCTTCCGTCCTCAGGGGCACCCACGGCCAAACTTGGCCCGCGGGACAGGGCCGAGTGTAGGACATTACCTGGAATTAACCCCGAGCCCGATGCCCACCTCCTGGGAGGATTCACAGCTACTGGGTGGTGAAGCTGTTGGGAAAGGCATCCCGGTCTGGCTCCAGAGCTGGCATAGGGGCCTGGCAGGACCTCTTCAGTGAGGCGTGAGGGGCACTGGACTGATCATTGCCCTGGCAGCATGCAACCACCATCCTTCCTGCTGCTGCAACCCTCGGCAATGGCTTGTCCAGACCCTGTGGGATGCTCTGACCGGGGTCGTGATTGAGCCTCAGGGCAGAGGGAGAGGAGCGCTCCGGGGGGGGGGGGGGGATTTCTGTATCTTCTGATCGTGTAACCCCCAAAAACTCACTCAGAAAAGACAAAGCAGGCTTTGTACAAAAGTTTAATGCCCCACACCCCACCGTGGCAGAGGCTCCAGGTATAGCCTGGCTGGCTGGCTGCTGGACACCGGCATGGAAGCGCCTGGGAGCCGGCCCTGGTTTCAGCTTCTCCCTCTCCTCCAGAAACCTGGGAGAGAAGAGCGGAGAGCTGCGGGGGAGCCGCTCCGAGGCTTTCAGCCGGGGACAGCGGCCTCTCAGCGGCTGCCCCGGCTGCCCCCGCTCCGGCGGTCAGGGCCGAGCTCCGGCCTCCCCCCGTTCCCTGCGCCGCGGGGACCTACGGGCTTTGTACTGGTTGCATCCCAGCCCCGTCTGCGCGCCGATCCTCTCCATCCTCGTCCCAAAGCAGCCGGAGAAGTGCCTCCGTCTGTAGGAGGAGAGGAGACTCCTCCACTGGCTCTGCCACCCCTCTGCCGGCAGTGGGGTCCCCGGCGGGCCGCCCTCCGGCCCCGAGAGCTCCCACTCGGAGCCGCCGTCCTCAGCCCCGGTCGCCGACTCGTCCTCCGGGCCCGATTCCCCTTCCTCCTCCCGGAGCTGCCCCAGCGCCTCCAGGAGGTCCTGGCGAGGGAAGGAGAAGGGAGGGGAGAAGGGAAGGTGGTGGCGGGGCACTGAAGAGCCCCGCTCCCGCCCGCTTCGCCCAGCCAGAACGGGTGCGATGATCGCTCCGGGAGCCCCGGCCCAGGTACCTGCAGGGACCGCAGCTCCGCGCCGTGCTCGCCACCGGCCGGCTGCGTTCCGGCCCACGGTAGGACGAGCAGTAGCAGCGAGGCCCCGCAGCAGAGAGCCGGGAGATGCATCCTATCCTATATCGTATCCTATCCTATGCCAGCTCGGCACCGTGTCGCTGCTTTGCCCATGGATCCCTCTCCTTATATCCCCACTCTCTGCCCGGAGGGAGCTCAGCTGCCTCCTGCCAGATCCCCGCAGGAGCCAGAGTGCCACACTCTGCCCCCCAGCTTCGATAAGGGAACTGGTTACAACTGGCCCCACAGGTGACCCTTCAGGAGAGAAGGGTCCCCTGAGTGCAATGACTCCTCCAGAGGAAAGAGCTGCCCCGAGTCATCTCCTCCCCTCCTGGCAGCACTCATTTTCCCAGTGAATTCCTCCCCCTCCTCTCTCCATCCCTGTTAGGAAGGAGTTGATGCAGTGAAAGACCCTTTCTGCCTGATTGCTCTGCCTCACATCTGCAGGCACCCAGGAGCTGCGAGCTGGCCCAAGCAGGGTGTTGGTTCCCTCTCCAAGGGGATGAGGGATAGGTCATTTCTAGTTCCATGGGGAGAGAAGGGAGGAAGGGGATTGGAAATTTTCCTCTGTCTGCAGCAGCTTCTAACACCTTTTTGTATCCTGTGTACTTATTTGTGTGCTGTGTGGAGAGACCATGTCCTTAGATTTGGGTTTAGATTTTCCTTCCTCACAAGTTCATGTGATAGTGGGTCTTCATTTCCTCTGGCATTGTCTGCAAACCCTTCCCTCTATAGCTAAGAGGCACTAACTTTTTAGTGCCTTGAGCAATGGCATAGCTGATCACTTCCCTACAAACATTATTTGCCCTCCAGCCATGCCTTGGCTGCAGCAGTGAATCAGTCACCACGCTCTCCTCATCCCACCACCTTCCACGTATATGATGGTGTGTTCTGTCCCTCCCCAGCCGTGGGTCGGAGTGAGAAATTCCTATGGAACAAATATTCTTTCCAGAAAGCCCAGGGGCCTTCCTCAAAGAAAGAGAATTTGTAGATCTTTGGGTTGATGCTCCCCAGATAGAAGTCTTTGAATTACTAATGTAACAGGCAGCCTGTTTGTATACAACTCTCTTATTTCACCTCAGAGCTCTACAGCAGCTTCTTACTAACTTGCAGTAGAACTCTTGAGCATCTTTCATGTGTCAGTGGTGAATTTCAGCTATAAATGAGTACAATTTCCACTGGTCCTGGGGTGCAAATCAAGATGATCCTGTTAGATCCTAACAGGATGAAAGGCAGAACCCACGATACCTGGTGGGTAGAGCAGCTGACAGGGTCCTTTCAATCACCACCTGGGTAATATTAAAACAATGACACTAAATTTCTGCCTTCTGCCTTCCTCTGTTGCTTAGCCAGCACACTCATAGATCTTTTTTGTTTCACTTGATATGCAGTCATTTCTGCTTGGGCCCTTATTTTAGAGCTTGTCCTAAAGCTCAGCAAAGTCTTTTCTCTGAGTTCAGAGGGTTTTGGACCAATGTGCTGCATGAACAAGCAAAAACATACAGTATACTTTTCCATCTTCCCCCATTTTCTTCTCCTTCTGTTCCACATGTCTACCTGCAGGTGATATAATTTACCTTAGATTGGAAGCAAACTAGCAAGATCAGCTGGTGTGGGACAATGATCTCTGCATCCAGCAGCCTTAACAGTTGGCAAGTGGTTTTGTCTAAAGCATCCCAACAAAGAAGAATCTGGCAAAGAAATGAGGTGCATGTTTTGAAAGTACAGGACATGACTGAAGGAAGCTCACATTAGGATTTGTGTTGCTACAGAATAAGAGCAGATGCTAAGGTGAGGATGTGCATCGTCCTTGATTTTGTGTGTAGTAAAGACAGACAGGAGTGGAAAGGGATTAAACAGTGTGAATGTACAGATCCCGTGTACAAGGGAAATAAACACAGTTTAGTCCCTTAGTAATAAACTAGGTAGACCTGAGTGTTGGATGAGAACCAATCTTGATTGCTGCCTAAAAACACTTAGAAACAGGTACCCCCAAAGCAGACACATTTGAGAAACGTATCTTTCTGTGTACTAGCTTTATTGCAGGCTTTTGTCCTCAGCAACCTCTGTAATCCTGGTCTGTAAATTCACACACTGCTGCTTAGCGGAGATGGAAATGACACAGCTGAAGATGAGCTTCCCCCACCTGAGTGGTGTGCTAACTTCAAAGGTTAGCTTTGATTATTTAAATGCTAATAGAACTCAAATTACAACACACCTGGCTTCAGTCCTCAGGACCTAATTATGGAGCCTTTTATGTGACAGAAATGGCTCTTGCTTTCTGAAATGTGGCTTTTTAGAATGCTCACATAAAATGCCAGGTGATGGGAGGCACATTACCAGCTCAGCCTCTGTGGAACTGGAGCTCTTCTCTGTTTCTTATTCATCTTCTGTCGTTCTGTTCCTGAGTGCTCACAGCTCAGTCTTCAACCTCCTCTGACCTCTGTTATTTTATCTGCAGATAATTTCAACAACCCACAGTTTATGTTTAGTTTGGTGTAGCTGAGTTTGGAAACAGGCTGAGGATGTTCAGGAAACCCTCAGCAGCACTTGCCCTTCATAGATGTTCAGTGAGATTTCAACATCAGGAAGCTTTATGCCTGTTAGAATGTGCCTGCTCCTAGAGTTAGAGAACAAGCTATCAGACTCAGGATTATTAGGAAGGAGACTGTAACCTTCCCATTAGCACCAACAGTCACAAGATACTTGCTTTTCATTGTTTGACACCATAATGTCCATGGGCTGTGAGGATTACCTCTTCCACCATACAGGTTGCACCTGAGCCAGCCCTGAAGCTCGTGCCTGAAGAAGGACTCTATGTAAGGAAGCTGGATGCTTCCTGTCAGGTTCTCACAAGTAAGCATGTTTGCTGCTTCTTAGTGTAAGTCATTTGTTGTGTTTTGGGGGAAAAGAAGTGAAAATCTCTTCCTGACTGTGTAAAGGTGTGGTAGGTTAGAATAAAGAATCAGAAAGCTCTTTGGTCACATTTGTGTGGGGCAGAGGTCTTTGTGTAATGGAAGCTGCAGTAAGGGAGGGTGTTATCTCTATGGCCTAGCAAGACTTCAACTTCCAGCAGAATTTGCACATGGATTACTGTGCAGTTTATGGGGCTCCATCTGGAAAAGCTGCTCACACTGATTAGTTTTAAGTATTAGTTTTAAGACATGCAAATCCTGTCTATTGATATGTGAATTATGCTGAAGACTGATTTATTCTTTCCTTCTCTATTCCCCACTTTAATTCTTCATCTGACAGGTGAAATGTTTCCTTTTCTTGTTGCTTTGCTAAGGAAGAGCAATACAGTACAAGGGATTTGTTATTTGAGCTATTCCATTGTTCAGGAGCTTATACTCAAGGGTGCCTATGTAAGTGATGAGCCCTCTCCTTGCCAGCAAGTGTCTGTGTAGGGCTTTTTCACTCTTGCTGCTGCTGCTTTGTTACCACAGTTAACTTGAACAGAATAAGTAGCAAGCAGCAGAAGACCTAAGAAGACCTATTAACTGGAGAAGCCTTCAGGATATATAGTTGAATTTCTGTTCAGGATTTGTGTTGATAACTTCCTAACTACTGGTCTGAAGAGGGAAATATTCTGGAGGGTGGAAAAACCATAGGCATGTAGAATTAATGGTGATGTCTTAATGTGCAAGGTGTAAAGAGTAAAAGATGGCAAGAAGAAAGAGAGAGCAGCTGTTGGTAGCTTGTGCAAGGGGAGAGTACCTCCATTAAGAAATCAGTCTGTTCTTACTGGCTTCTGAGAGTCAGCTCTTAAGTGTTGAAGCATATGCTTATGCCCTTGTTGTACTGATGTCCTCTCCAGATCAAGTCTGTGGCATCAGGGTGGAAGTGATGTATAGAAAATAGCATGATAGGTGAATAAAGCTGTCTTTAGTTTGGCTCTGAATAGCTCTCCAACAGGTCCTGGATTGCTTGCATTCTATGGGAATTGTGGTTAGAAGGAGCAGAAGCAAATCATAGTGTTTAAGTGCCTGAGGCAGGCTCAGAAACTAGACCTCTGGCTGCTTTGTGCTAACAGGCTTTCCTGATGCAAGCTGAACTGCCAGAGACTCAGAGCACATGCAGCCAGATGGTTGCTGATGAGCTTGCTTTGCATATATGTTTGTACTCTGTTGCAGTTTGCATCCAGGGCTCCAGTTAGGAATAGGCTTATTACCAGCATATTTTCTTCCAGGAGCATCTGTCTTGTGGGCAAGAGAATGGGAGGAGTACGACTGTGTATCCCATCTGTCCGTTCCAAGCAAAAGGCTGGAAGTGAGCAGCTGGGCCTTCATTTGTGACCAATAGCATAGACACTGTGTGAGCAGAATCCTTGCTGATTCCCAGGGAGCTGCTTGCAGAGCTCAGCTCTCATCAAACTGGGATAGCACAGTCATGAGACTGGCAAACCAGCCTTCATACCGAATTCCTTTGGCTCAGGTTGTTTGTAGTTAGATTCAGTGAATACTTGGTTTGCTTAAGAAATAGAATGGTCAAATACATGGTTTTTGGTGTAATCTTGCCTTTTTTGTTTGAAAAATGCTTTGCAATGTCTGGATGTGCCTATGGAAGAGTAGGGTGCCCTCAAGCCTTCTTCACAGAATGGTCTAGTGGAAGGTGTCTGCCAATGGCAGGGGGTTGGAACCAGATGATCTTAAGGTCCTTTCCAAGCCAAACCACTCTGTGATTCTGTACTAGTAAGAAGCAGTCATTTCCTCTGTCAGTGGCAGATCCAAATGCAGAGTAACAGCTTTCTACTGACATCAGCTATACAGCTGCCCCTTTAGTTCAAATTGTGGTGGTCAAGGACTTGGGGCTTTGTGTCCTGGTTTCTGATGACTCTGTTGTGCAAATGGCTCTATCTTCCTGTTATATTGATGTTTAGGCAGTCCCTTAACTTCAGAAAGGTTCTTTTGATAAAAAGAAGGATTTGGTTTTTTTCTTGATAAAAAGAAGGATTTGATAAAAAGAAGGATTTGTGAAATGCTTCTGAATTTGAGTGGGTTGTGCGTAACTGCAAACTGGGGCTCTGTTTCAGGCTCAGGAATGATACATGAAAGAATCACAGCGAAGGTTGGAAGCAAATTCACCAAATTAGGGAAAACAGTTTATTATCTGTGCCATAACGAAACTTGTTTATTTATACATTTAGTACACAACACAAATGTTTTCCATAATCAAATTTCAGATAGATGTTCACAAAATATTATTCTGATACGAATAGTCAGCACAGCAATAGTGTATTCAATTGGCCAAGTAATTCTGGGGAGAGAGGGGGTGCAGTTTGCTCAGTACATCATGT